CCCACAGCCCCCCCCCCATCACGTTCCCCTTCCCCTCAGCCCTTTCCTCCCCCAGTTTCGGCAGCCCCTCACCCAACACCCACCCCCCACACACCCAGAGCCGCCTTCCGGCAAGAGGAGCGCAGTGATTTATTCCGTTAACTTCCCGGTGGACAAGGCCAGGGCTGGCGTGACCTTCCCTGCCCTCCCCCAGCGATGGCAGCTCTCCCCTCCCCTGCCCACGGCCGGTGGGCGAGTGCCTGGTGCCGGGGGTCCCAGCAAACAGAGGTGGTGTAAGGACAAGGCGGTGCTCCCTCCCTCCTGCTCACTCACCCTTCTTCTTGAAGAAAGCCAGGAGCGAGGAGAGATTCCTGCCCATGAAAACCACCATGGTGGCCAAGGAGAGGGTCTGGTCCCCGAAGAAGCGGGGGGCTTCGCCGCCCCCCACGGAGGCTCTGTCTATTGTGCCGGGGCGGCTCTCGCCCAGCCGTGTGCCAGCGAGGCGGATGCCGGCGGCCCCCAGCTGCCTCCCGCCGTCCTCATCCGCGTGGCGGGAGGATGCTCAGCCAGGCACAGCGGCTCCGGCCCCGCTGCCCGTGTGCGGGGAGAAGCCTCACCCCGGGGACGGCTGCGCGGCGGCGGGAGGGGACAGCCCCAGCTGCGCCCACCGCACGCCTCGGCCACGGGAGAAGGAGAGCGGGGGGCCCCTCCTCTGGCCTCCCCGCTCAGCCCCCGGCCCTCCCGCCTCCTCCCACGTACAGCACGGCTGGCAGGGATCTGTTCTGCCGGGCTCAGGGCCAGGATTTCCCTCAACTGCCACCTCTTGAACCCCTGGGACAGCCCACACCCCCCCCCAGGACCCTCCTCGCCAGGTCCCCACTGAGCACCAGCATCCCTACAAACCAGTTGCTCGCTTCCACAATAGTGCGGCCCAACTGGGAGGAGCTGGGAGGCTTTTCCTCCGGCGAGCACCAGCCCTTGGGATATGGCACAGCACAGGCAACGGTGCTGGCATTCCCCCTCCTCATCTGTCCCCAGTGCCCCCCACCCTGGGACCCAGCACCCACCGCAGCCCCCCCAGCCCTGCCAGGGAGAGCCCCGCTCCCAGCACGGCTCAGCCCACGGCGGGGGGACACATGAGCCGTTACGGGGCAAAGGGAGTTTGTCCTTAGGGACAGGGCACCCAGCACGGCTACGTCACGGTCACAAGAGCTGGCGGCACGCTGGGGGAGAGTGAGGTCTCGAACCAGTCTGACCAGTAGCTGCTGGCACAGGGGCACGTGAAGGCAGGGGCAGAAATGCCGGGCAGTCGGGCACTGGCACAGACGGTGGCACCGACGGCACCTGTCCCCACCACACGAGGTGCTGCGTGCTCCCGGTGAGCCCTGTGTCATCCAGCTGGCAGCAGGCAGCGCCCCACAGAAGGGGAATTTGCCCCGGGTGCCTCCATCCCTCCCACCTCCAGGTGTTTTGCCCCGAAAGGTGAAGAACTCCCAGTATTCACCCAGCAGGCAGGGCTGTCCTGGTGCCAGGCAGCAGCCGACGTGTCAAATCCTCCTCCCCCTGCCCTGCCAGCTCCCCGCTGCCTGTGCCAAGGTTGGTGTTGCCAGGGCAGGGCTTTGGCTGCCGAGTCACCCAAAGCAGAGAGCGGAGGTCCCACGGCCCCCACGCACTGGACGTGCCGCCCGAGGGACCGTTTGACCTTGCAAAGGGCACCTCCGTGTGCTTCGGGGGGGATTTCTTCCCTGCATCTCCTACACGTCCATAACAGCAAACCCAAGCAGCGCCCTGCAGCCCTTGCTGTGATAACCCAGCACCCTGCTCGCAGCACGGGCAGGATCGGCCCCGCTGCCCACGTGCTCACCCAGAAGGTGCCGGTGGCTGCAGGCAGACGCTCCCCAGCTCTTTTCACAGCGCAAGTGGAAAAGGGACATAATTAAAGGGCTGAGGATGCACAAAGCGGGCAGCCACGTGCTGCGCTGAACGCTGCCCTCTCCTCTCCCAGCAGCCCGTCACGAGCCCCAGCGAGGGCCACGGCCGACAGTGGGCAAACGCGGCCAAGAGTGACGGCGTTCCCGGCTCCGCAGGGGGGGGTCCAGCCCTCCAGGATGGCACATCCAGCTCTGCATGGATGGGGCCTCACCTGGGAGCCCCCTGCAAGGTACCGGGAGCTCTGCGAGCCCCCGCAGGCAAAGGGGGACAATCCCCCCTGTGCTGCCAGGCCCAGGCAGAACTGACCTTCAGCCCCGCAGGTCTGGTGGTGGCAGCACACATATGTGGAAGCTGCTGCCTGGGGCTGAGAGGACATTCCCAGGTGCTGGTGGACAGCCTGTCCCTGCTTCTCCTCCCCGTACGTGGCCCATCGCCCTCCCAAAGGGCCTTGAGAGTATCCCTTGCTGACAGAAAGACGCGTCCCTCTCCTGAGTGTGACACTTCTGCAGCTCGCGGCAGGAGGAGCTCAGCATCGCCGGCTGCAATCACCCAAAGGATAATCCGGGCAGGACGCCGTGGCCACCGCCCAGGCAGTGCCGGGCCACGGAGGAGCCTCGTGCCAAGGGCTGACGCTGGTGAGCGCGGCCGCGCGCGAAGAGCCGCCTCCGCTTCTCCTCCCACTCCCTGCAACCTTCGCCACCGCGTCCTCCTCGCCCAGACGGCCTCACCCCGGCTCTGTCAACACACGGCGAAACCTGCTGCAAAGGGGACGGGAAAAGAGGGGGAAGCCAGGAGGGAAAGAGGCCTGATCCTGCGGCGGAGGCTGCAGATCTTGGTGGGCTGAGGAAGCCGTTGCAGCTGCAGCCAGTGCCGGTAGCAACACGCCCGGTCGGAGCTGGCGTCCCGTCCTTTGTACATTCCTTGCGACGTGCCCTGGATCGCCCCGTCCCCTCCAGGCTCAGTGGGGCTGATCTGACACACGTGTCTCATCCACACGTGGCAGTGGGATCCTCCCGGAGAAGGAGCTGGAGGCGTCTCAGGGCCGGGCACTCTCTCAAGGATGTTCTCCCTGACTCGGAGCTGGTATCTGCTGCTACCAGTGCCAGAGATGGTCTGGAGGGAGCAAAGCATCCCCAAAGCCGGCAAAATGAAAGGAATGGGCAGGGAATGCCAGGCACCCTGCCTTCAGCTCTGCCTGCTCTGCTCTGTGCCGGCAGAGAGGGGCTGGAGGGCACCGAGGTGGGACTGGGCAGGGCTGCGCAAGGGACAGACCAGAGCCGAGACCCCAAAGGGACACGGCCGGGGCCGTACAGCCCCGGACCAGCGATGCTGCGAGTGAGATACGGCGCTGGCCCAGCTCCCTCCTGGAACTGCCTTAGCCACGATGACGCTCGTCACTCCGGGAGAGCCAGAGGAGAAAATCCTGGCTCCTGTCCCCCTCCTCGCCAGGCCTGTGCCTCCTGCACGCAGCAGGTTTGGCCAGACTCGGCTGCAAACATCTATCTCTGCCTGCACGGCACTGCCTCGACTTGCCTTCTCCCTGCACGGCGGTGGGTCCTGCGGCGGGAGGCAGGGAACAGGCAGCGCGGCCGCCCCTTCCACCACCACTGACTCACCGGAGAAAAATGGGGAGGAGGGGGGGAGCTGGCAGGCAGGCGGGAAGGGGCTGCGAGGTCCCCAGGGGAGGAAGGGGAGGAGAACCTGCCTGCGTGTGTCCTGCTCAGTGGGATGGAGACATCACCTCCCCGCTCCTGGCAGCCAGGGCGGTGCTGAGAGCAGCGAGGAGGCAGCAAGACGACCCCCCCGCCCCACGGGGTTGATGTTCTCCCACCGCGCTGCTCCCAGGCACCGGCCAGCACCATCCAGGCGTGCGCCCAGGCTCGGGGACTGCTCTGCTCCCCGTGCTGCAGCGGGCCAAAGCCGCGGTTGCCTGCAGATGCCGTAAGCATGGAGAACGCCAGCGGGGTGCAGCAGGAACCCCAGAGAGCCCCGAGAACCCCACGGAGCAGTCAGCACGTGGACCCTGCCGTGGCTGTGAGAGCATCCAGCATCCAGCCCCCCTGCTCCCTCCGAATCGGCCTCTCCCACCGCAGCACGGGCAGGCGGTTCCCGGCCGGAGGGACGGCGCAGGCAGCCCTGCCGGCATCTTCCTGTGGGGAGCGACGCCGTCTCTTTACGAGCCCCAGCGTGTCCATCTTTCCCCTGGGCCCATCAGCTCTGCTCGGGCAGCTCCATGGCCCCGGGTGGGACCTGGCACCTGCCCCTGCACCCCAACTTAGAGCTGGTGAGGGAGGCCAGGGGGGCTGGGGCCCTACTGGAGGCAACCAGCCCGGTCGCCCTCACTCCCTGAGGTCGCCCTTGTTGTCTCTGCACAGGATCTGTGCCCTGGGACACGCCACAGGACCGTGCTCTCTCCAGGCAGGATAAGAGCACAATAATATTTACCGTGACTCTGGCCACGCAGCCCCCCACTGCCAGCCCAGGGGCTGCAGCCTGCCCTCGGCCTCACTTGGAGGCTGCTGCTTCAGCCAGGAAAAACATCTCTGCAAAGCAAATCAACACGACCCGAACTGCGTTGCTGGCTCGACTCTCAAACACAATCCCACGCCGAGGCAGAAATAAAATTAATTTCAAATGGGAAAACAAACTTGGATCGTTTTTCTTCCTCTAAATCACAGTGCAGAAAACTGCCCTGCATCACCCCGGCCCGCCGAAGGGCCACAGCAGAGGAGGCAGCGCAGGGTGGAACCCCGCTCGGAGCAGTCCCCTGGCCGGCTGCCGTCATGGCAGGAGCACACCTCGTCGTGTGACACCCGACTGGGCCCTCACCCCGCTGCTGCCCCGCACATGCCCCACAGCCAGCGACGCACGATGTCTCCCGCTCTCTGCGGTATCACAGACTCTGGGCGAGGGTCTGGCAGCAGCCCCGGGCGGGGGTCCCAGCACTGCGGAGGGAGACAGGACCACCCCGATGCCCGATTGTGCCTCGCTCTCAGTCCCCGCTCCAGCCCAGTGAGCCTCTGTCCCAGTCCCACCACCTCTCCACCCCGCGCTCGTCCCCTCCCCGGAGAAGCCACCAAACAGGTTTGAAGGTAAATAACAGCCTTCCCCGGCCAGGAGCTGGATCCGGGTGGGAACGGCCCAGATGGGGAGCGTGGGGCGGGAGAGGGTGGCGGGCAGAGCCTCAAAAAGCAACGCAGGACCACGGAGACAACGCTGGTGACACGCACGGTCGGGGACAGGCCACCACCACCTCCTCCCTACACCAAAGTCCACAGCTTTATTACAGCCCTGCTTCACCTGCCCCGGGTGTCCTCTCCTCTGCCCCCCGTGCACGCCGCCGCGGCGCCTGCGCGGTTCCCCGCCGCGGTGCTCGGCGCTGGCGGCGTCCCCACGGCGCGCGCCGTCATGCCCGGCGTGTTTGCAGGGTACCGAGGGTGCTGCCTAAATGGCAGGCGTGCCTGTCACAGCAGGTACTCGGCTCCACAGCAGGAGCAAAGCCAGGAGACGGATTAGGGACAAGACCTTGCAGGTTTTTCCGTGCAGGGATGCCCCGTCCTGCGAGCAGCACCCAACCCCGCTCCCGCCCGCGGGTCTCTCGCTTGGCACCGCTGGCAGGAAGCACCGAGGAGCTGCTGGTCCTCCGGCGAAGACTGAGACGGACACAGCGATGTGGGATCAGGGGAGGAGAGGGCACAGGAGCCGTCAGATGGGGCTGGGGCTGCCACCAAAATGGGGTGAGGAGATGTAACCAGCAGGTCCCACCCCTGCCTCTTGGTGACAGGGTGCCTGCCAAGCGGGCATGGCCTGGCACGTCGGAGCTGAGTGT